ACACTTATAACAAAACGGTTGCATTAGCCAATAAACCGTTGCAATAGTTGTACCTATTGCTACGATTTTTAGAACAGTTGTGATATGTATCCCTTGGGCAACCGTTCTTTGAAAAAGATTATCTATGGGGACGGTTTTATTTCCTCATCTATAATTTTCCCCAACGAGACACCTCTTTTATATGAGTGTTCTTTTTTAGCATTAATTGTACAATAGAAGTTTTTCGTAGGGAAAAATGTTTCTGTGCAAGTCTTTGACGTACATGGCTTTGTTTTGAATTCTCTTGCAGCTGCATAGTTCCAAGGGGTTTAATTAAATCCCCTTCGTGGAAAAACTACATAGTGCAAATAGGATAAAAACAAACTTTTACTATATGCAAACAAAATGTTGAATCCCTTGTCATAAAGGGAAGTTTATAGTGTAAATTGTTATAGGACACAGGTTTTGAATCCTAGGTGTGACATTCTTGCGTTATTTTGAATCTCTTTGGTAGAGTTCCTGACTCGGCTATTGTCTCTTGTCATAATAGGAGCACACACCATAGGTTATGCTCAATGTTTCGCATTCAAGAGGAGACTTTTCAACTTCCAAAACTCGGGAAAGCCAGACCCAAACCTTGATTCTTCAATGTTGTCGAATTTGCAAAGCACTTGTCCTAACACAGATGGATCCAACAGCAAGATTGCTCCTTTGGACTTTCAATCCGTTACTAGATTTGACAATTCATATTACAGGAACCTTGTAAACAATTCAGGTCTTCTTGAATCTGATCAAGCTCTGATGTCAAATTCTCAGACTGCTGATATGGTCAAATCCTACAGCTCGTACCCTTATCTTTTCTACCAAGATTTTGCTGCATCTATGATGAAGTTAGGAAATGTTGGGATACTCACTGGACAAAGTGGGCAAATTAGGAAAATATGTGGCTCTGTAAATTAAATAACTACTTTTCTGAACTATGTTTAGTTAAATGTTTGATCACAATGTGTATCAAGTGTGTATTACGTAATGATGGTGATATGATATCATGGTGTTCATTACCAAAATATTTGTCTCAGTATGCATGCATCTCCTTTAATAATATAACTATCAGATGGTGCCCAAGTAGATCATTTTGTATTATCTTATAATCCGGTGTGAATTGTGATAACTTTACGGACAATGAGATCCCACTTAGAGAAGAAAACGTTGGTTAATTAGAGTATTTAAAGAATCAAAGGTGATATTCCTAATGCTTGACTATCAATGTGCTAAAACATTGGACTCTTTTATTCTTTATGTCCATTTGCGTATTGATGTGATGTAATTCTCTCCCTTTAATTTAAAGTTTTAAGTTCTTTGAGATAATGGTATAAAAAAAACATTACTCCTTTCTGTTTTAATTTATGTAAACTTATTTTCTTTTTAATACGTGTCGAAAAGAATGAACATAAATTAATAGTACTGTACTAGTAATGTTTTCAATATGTATAACTTGAATTTGGACCAGAAAAAAGAGGGGACAAAGGAAGCTTAGATTCAAAAAGTGAAAATACAATAAAATGGGGAAGCTGGTTGGATATCCACAGTAGGCTGACCCTGACTAAACCTTTGTTTTGTACAACTGCTATATACTAGCATCCAATCCATAAACTATGTAAATTTTCTCTTGTCTTCTCCTATAAAAAAGCATCTTACACTTCTCTCTCTCTTGTTTCTGCATAATCACTAGCTCCGAGACAGAGAGAGAGAGAGAGATATTCCCTTCTTAGCACAGATTCTTTCCATCTCAGACATCTGTGTTTTGATACCTTTTCATGAGTATGTTTGTACCAATAGCAGTATCCCCACAAACGCATGAATAAATAAAGAATTTAATTTATATACCATCATATGACTTAAGAAAAAAATAAAGGAAGTTTTTATTTTTCAATGTCTACTTCATTTCTTGTTATTCTACCTTATATTAAGCTCTAATTTGGCCATAGGTTTTAGCTGCTTTTCAAGAAAATAAAGGAAATTTTGTTTTTCAATGTTTACTTCATGTATTGTTATTCTATGTTATACTAAGCTCCAATTCATCCATAGATTCTAGGCCAAAATCTTAGATAGGCCCTTAAACTTGGCATCTTTTGTAAAACAAATATATAAACTTATAAGGTGACCAGATAGACACTTAAACTCGTCCAAAGTGTAATTTTTAAACACCTCTCTATGTTAGACTTTGTGCGTGAGGTCCAAACGCCACTTACATGGCAAATGAATGAATAATATATTGACACGTTATTTTCTTTTCCATGTAAGCAAATAATAGTCTAAAGCCAAATAATACTTCTCATTTATTCATCTTCTCTCTCTCTTCGCTTTCTGAGACCCAGCTCCCATCCCATTCCATATCTAACTCCCATCACATTCCATATCTAATTTGCATCATAGGTCTTTTAATTCTAAAGTTAAATTTCATCCAAACTTCAGCAAATTCAAGAGGAAATCATGTAAAGGTGGAGATTTTATTTTATGCTGGGGGATTGATGGGTTGACTGCAGACTCCATGTTCAAGGGTTTTGATGAATTTTTTTGGAGATTTTAGTTGATTTTGTCTCTTCAGTGACAGAAACCAGTAAAAGGTACTTCTGTTTGCATAGATTTATGGTTTAGATGAGTTAGGGTTTTGTTGTTATTTTTGGTAAAAGTTGGGGCATTTGTCTAGGGTTTTGGGGAATATTTCTATTTTTTTATTCTGCCACAATTCCACATGAATAGTGTTATAACTGTAAGATCTCATTATGGGGGAAGAGTTATTGAGAGAGAATTTCCCAAATACGAGGGGGAGTTAGGGGTTAGACAGTGGGGTATCGACTTAGATCACTTTTCTTTGATTGAACTCGATTATTATTCACGTGAAATTGGGTACTATATAGTTGAAGGATTTTATTACCAAGACACAAAAACAAAACAGTTTAAAATATTAAAAACCGACTCTGAACTTTTGGGTCTTGTCTCGAACTTGAAATATGGGGATTTTTTAGATATTTTCATCAAGCATGTGGTTGATAATGATATTGTGGTGGAATATTGTGGGGTATCGACCTAGATATTGATTCGATTTAGTAAGCCCCAAATAACCCTCCGAGCTTGGTCTGGCATTTGCTCATCGTACCACATAAAGTATTTGCATCCGGCCTATTCACAAAGCAATATAAGATTAATTTCCAAAAACAGAGAAAAAAGAATTGAAACTTAAGGAAAACAAAGAAATATAAAATCAGTACTTACTCGTTCATATTTACATCCATAAAATCTTCGACCAGGATTATTTGGAGACCAGATCATAGCCTCATTACTTAGTCTCATCGTCAACTTGTTTGGAGAATGAAGATAACGAGTCAGAGAGAAAAATATATTGAAGCTTTTAATGTGATTTAAGATAGATGTAGAAGAAAACACATAAAATGATCTCTGTAATTTTTTGGCTTCAATGGTGTTTCCAGCTTTGGAGAAGATGAATTTTAGGGGCTAGGGCTTTCTTTAATCGTTGGGGAAAAGTAGTATTGGTTATGGGTTATATAAAGAGGGATTTTTTATCGTTAATTTTCTGACTCAACAACGTCAGGGAAAAGTAAATTAGGTATCACGCGCTCATCAGTAAATACACAACATGCAGTATGCAGGATGGACAGAGGTGTTTAAAAATTACACTTTGGACGAGTTTAAGTGTCTATCTGGTCACCTTATAAATTTATATGTTTATTTTACAAAAGGTGCCAAGTTTAAGGGCCTATCTAAGATTTTGGCCTAGATTCTATGTTTGTACCACAAAATTTAAGTTCCCAAAAATTGGTTTAGGACCGTTTTTTGGTGAAATTTATTCTTCCACTCACAAAAATTAAATTATTTTTTCAAATAAAATGCATGTCCAAACATAACTTCAATTTCTAAAAATTATTTTTAAACACAACGTCAAAAACTCTTTTTTTAAGTTTCAACCAAATCTTTGTCCAAATGCTAGCTAAGTATGTAGAATAAATACACAAATTGGTATATTAAATTATACCAAATTTTTTATCATAATTGTTTCATTTAATACATCTTAGCAACCGTGTCCATGGTGGTCTAACTGGTTGTAACATGTTACATATGATACACCTCAATTCCAAACAAGTTACATAGGAATAACTACATATAATTAGTAAATAAACTGATAATATAAAAAATAAATACACAATTAACATATAAAAATTTAACTCATAAATAAATTAGCTTTCCTCTTGCCTCCTCCGGTCCTAGTTGGTCTTGCTATCAATAATAATGTGGCATGATCTACCACCTATTAAAAATTATGGGACAGAACTTTTAACTTGGAAAGATTTAGAAGTCATTAAACATCATTAGACCAATAAAGGGACATTTTTAAACGTAAAATGGATGAACTTCGCCGAGGAGATTGAGCATGATTGTTGAGCTTTTTGACTTTTTAAACTAAAGCAAACTTATCAGCAAGAGTAGAAAAAGAGTATGTATAAAGAATTGGCAATCATGTCATCTTTCAAGTGCCCATTCTGAAACCTAATTATTTCAGATTACAAAGAATGTATTCAATATTGGATATGCGAAAATCTTGTGCTTCCATCTTCATGTTGTTTTTCTTCTATTCATAAATCTGTATCGCTATCTATCTATGATATCCTATACATTTACCAAGATTCTTATGAGATGAGGTGGCATGCCACGTGGGATTTATCTTAGTGAAATATCAGGCTAAATAGGATGGTCATGGCTATGGTGGAGGGCCCTAACGAAGAAGGGATATTTTTGAACTAGTTTTGTAATATTAGGAGTAATTGTGGACCAGAAACATAACGAAGGGCATAAATAATATAGGGAGTTTTGCACAAATATATGCTCTGTCAATTTAAGATTGAATTCCTACCTTCACTTCTACATTTAAAAAAGAACCGTCACATCTCACAATGTGGCAAAAATCATATCGATCTCTCTCAACAAAGAATGTTATCAGACACATTATTTTCTTTTCAATACAAGTCTGGACGTATATTTATTTTTGGTTTAATCATTTGGTATCTAAAACCTCTGATTCGAGTAATTCTAATTCACGTCGAGTAAGTCGACAAAGGAGGGTAAAGTGAAAGGTTCTTTTATTTTCGGAGCTCAATCGAGATACTCTAATTAAGTATGAAGAAATCTCAACCATTCCATGTTGTCTCTACACACATGTTTCTCCAAACACACTACACAGTGCACAATTTCACTTCTTAATACTTATGTAAAGTAAAACTACATTACTACAAAAGAGTACCTGTAGTACTACCAGTTGAAGCATGAGTCGAGAGACTCAAAAATTGGGGGCTTTTTTTTGAAGTACAGATCATGAATTATTCCCAGCGTAACTTGGCCATTTTGTGCAGTGCAAAGATGCTTTTAGAGGATTCCTTTTGATTTCTGACATAAAATTTTCATTGTGGGCCATTTGTTAGCTCTATCGAGTTACAGAAACAGCACTCTCTTTTGTACCCACAACTTCATTCAATTCTGACTATGACTCCTGAACTAATGGTCCAATATCTATTAGACTTTCCTTTGATCTTAAAATCTCAATTAGTCCTTCGGTTTTTTCCTGCTCATTCTTTTCTTTTCCCTCATTATCAGGATCTAGAAAATGTAATAGGAGTACTAAGAACTTTTAAATTCAAACTATGTTATAATGTTAACATTGTGATATTTCTTGGTGGTCCATTGACATGCTACTGAAAAAATTCCTGGGATTTAATACAACACAACAGAACGGAGACAAATTTTGCTTTAATGGCTGAGCTGTTCAGGGTCAAGGGAGAACACTAGTAGATATTTCTTTCTACTCTTTTTCAACTTAACTCTGCCATTTCAAGATTTCATAGTATCATATCAAGCTCTCTCTGTATTGGATGGATGCCTTAGCTGTGGGATAGAAGGCTTTTCTTTCAAGTCTTCTTTTCTTTGATCGCCTAACCAGTTTCACACAGCTTATAGCTATCTCTACCAAGAAAAGGTCTTTAGAGAAAAAGAAAAAGCTAGCTCAACCCCCATTCCCCACACCCCCCCTGTTCTCATTTTTGTATAAAAGTAGACTAAAAGCCATTTTTCTTGGGCTTTGTTCACTCTCACAAAAACATGACCTAAAATATTAACACTCCCCATTCGGCCATTCTTCCCCTTTTCCCTCCACTTTTTCCTTTTACCTTTCCCATTTTTTCTCTTTTTTCCCATCACAAAATAAAACAATCAGTCCATCACCATACTCTTAGCTTCTACCTTCTCATTTTAGAACATGGCCACAGCTCAATCAATTTATTCTCTTTCGAGAAAAACCAAGCCTTTTCAGCCTTTTTAGCTCATTTTTCCTTCCAAGATTACTACTTTATTGTTTAATATCAAATTCCACGAAAGTTAAATTCTTTTCAAACGGGAGATAAACAAGAATATCTCCGACAGAAATACCGTACAGTCCATTTTAAACCTCAAGAAACTTTCTTATTCAGATTCTCTAAAGAATTTTTGGTTTTGGGTATTCTTCAAAATGTCCTCTACACCAGCTGAAGATCCTCAACAGCAACAGCTACTACCACCGCCCATGTTTATGGGCCAGCAAGCTTATTCGGATCGTCCGGGTCACGGGTCGGTTGGACCCGTTATCGCTGTACTAGCGGTGATAGCTGTACTGGGAGCCATCGCTGTGATGATAGGCAGGTTGTGTTCGGGTCGGAGGATAATGGGTCGGGGTCAGTACGACTTTGAAGGGTGGGTTGAAACCAAGTGCGCGTCTTGTATCGATGGCCGGGTCGACCCGATGCCACGACCCCCCGTGACTGTGGCGCCGCCGGTAGTGGTGGCAGAAAGCAGCAGCAGCGGTAGCCATGATGGTGCTGCGCCGGCGCCGGAGCCGGTTGAGACGAGAGAAGAAGAGGCATCTAATCAACAAAGAAATTCACATGAGCATCATCCACATGAAAGAGCCGAGTCTTGAAATTGCTTTTTCCTTTTTCTTTTTCTTTTTTCACTTTTTCTATTGGAGGCCTTTTAGAATTATGCTTAATGTTTCGTTTGATCTGACTATTTAATATTGCAATTTTTGAAGTTATATAAATATTGTACTCCAATTCATTCTATATATCAATACCTGGGGTTGAAGATGATGTTAATTTTGTGATTGCTATTTTTGCTGCTATATTCGTTATTTTCTATTCTCCTTTTTGACATTTTGGAAAAGTAAAGTTTTATTTCTGTGTACTTTTTGTAGTGAATACTACAGTGATTTACGCAATCATAGCTCTTCTCTTTTTTCTCTTTGACTATTCCCTCGAACTTTAAGTTAAATACAATATCGAGCCAATCACTTTCCTACAAGAAGTAGGAATATTCCATAAGATTTTGAATTAGAGGATCAAAATGGTTCAAATTAGAGGAAATTGAAGGCTACAAACTAGTGGTTGATGTCAAAAGTATTGCACAAAATGAGGTAAGTTATATAAAGCGTATAACTTTGCATTACATGAAGTCAATTTATATTATATGAAACCCGTTATTTGTGTGGAAAATGAGGAAAGTTATTTGTGTGGCTTCCATTTGCTACTACAGAATTAACAACAGGAATTTTTACCTCCTATAGCAAATGTTGATATCTTATTTATTTTAAATAAATACCTTTTTAAAAAATTATATTCCATAGCTACCTTTTGATTTTTAAAGCCAAATATCTATTTATTGTTACCTCCTACCCTTAAGCCATAAAATACTATTTGTATTATTTTTCTCTCTCATTCTTTTAGATTTTTCTCCGCCCTTTCTCTCTCTCTCTCTCAACGCCAGTCTTTCTCCATGAATACAACCACATTCTCCACTGATTCATCTCCCTTGTCTCGCGAAATTTTCATTGTCAGTGCTGGGGCTATGAATCAATGTCGAAATCAAGCCCTAGAGAGAAAGATGGAGATTCGAAATCTGCTATTGAAAGGTAAATTGAGGGAATTTGAAAGGAAATAACGAAGATCCACCCCATTCTGATGGTCGTTGCTTTGACCTCGGTCGAGTATAGTTTTCCGCATGATTTTATATCGCAAGTCATCTTTATCAAGTCGCGCATCTTCATTAAATCATAAGGAATTTCTTTCGTGTTTGCGCCAAATTTTGAGAGTTTCGAGTCAGAATCGCGGCCCTCTCGACGAGACGACATTAGGGTTGCTCTTGAACAAAAACGATGGAGTTTAGGGTTGAGCAACTTGAAGAGTCTGTTACCTTTTTTTTCATTGTATTTCAATGTATCTTGTTGTATTCTATGTATTCATTGTCTTTTTTTTCCCGTTGTATTTCAATGTATCTCGTTGTATTCCATGTATTTCATTGTGTTCACTGTCTCGCTATATTCCATGAATATATTCATATATTTTTTTAATTAATATAAATTATGTATTCAGATGTATATATGTATTCAAATGTATCTGCAGTATGTATTCATATGTTTTTGCACTATAGATGACCTGCTATAGTTCATGTATTCAATGGATTTTTATGTATTTAACTGTATTCAATGTAATTATATAATTTCAATATATAAATCTATTTGTAAAGATACCACGAGAAAATATTTTAGTAAAGATACCACTAAAAAAAGAAAAGGATGGATTGAATCTTTGAAGATTGCTCTGTTTTGGGGGTGTTTTCCGGTTGAGAATATTTTTTATAATTGGAAATACAAATTTTGTGTGTTATAATTGAATTTGTTGAGTTATATTAGGAGTCTATTGTGTTAATTGATTCACTTTTTGTTGAAAAACAGCTGAATAGACCATGATTTACGCTATTTACGTTACTGTAGTCACAAATACATATCGTGAATACAGTCGAATACAATAATTGCCTAGCTGTACTCCCCTGTTTCCCGTCGAGTTTTGTTACTGTATTCATGAATACAGTAGCTTAAATACATCGAGTACGCTCTAAAAAACTAAAAATATAGCTATAGGAAGTAATATAGTGGTAGCAACAGCTAGCTAATAACCACTAAACAATAGTGGTTTGTGAAAATTTCTCTTTAAAAAATACTCCTACGGACTCAACCAAATGGGCATCCGTTATTTATAAGGGCATCCGTATTCTATTTTCATAGATTTTTCTTCAAAGGGTCTTTCAGGGAAAAAAAGCTTTACATTATTTAGGAAAAAAGACCCTTGATATTAAAGTTTGTACACACGGCATAATAATCTTAGGGGTCGTTTGGTATGATATATATAAAAAAAAAATATGTATTAGTATTGATATTATTAATCCCTTGTTTGACAGTATTTTTCAAGTTATATTTAATGAATATATATATTAGTTATACATCATATTCAGTATTATTCGTATACACAGTGTAGGCAAAAAACATCACATTATATGTTGACCAAGTCAACATAAAGGGGAGCCTTCTGAAACTGCCACGTGTCATCGATAGGATACAATAACCTGGCCTCAAAGGGTCGACGTCGTGATAAGACAGTGCATCGTCGACGAGGTCGAAGTGATCGACAGAAGACAAGGACGAGGACGAGCACTCCTTTTCGGAAAGCAAAAGTGGCTAGTTTTAGGATCACTATTCCCTAGAGAAAGATATGTAGTTATGGGGAGGAGGGAGGGAGGGGGGAGGGGGGATTAGACACTTTTTGTAAAGAACAACACACTGACATTCTCTGAAAAATCTCCCTTTATCATATACATAGAAAGTTCACCTTTTTTACATCTTTATCTATCCCCAATCCAAGAGGGATCCGACTATTCAAAGGCTTATCATTATCCATCATTTTCAGAAGAATTATTGGGGAATCTCACCTTTGTCCGGTGACCTCTATTCGCTTATTTACTTAAATGTCATTTATCGATATTTATTGCTATCTTACATATTCTTGAGTCATTCATAACACTATTATTGTTGTCATTTATTGCCATTCAACAGCACACGTGGGGTATTTCTATAAATACACTTGGTCTATCCTGTGGATATTAATATTGGCTAAGATTATGTCACGATCCCCAACCACCCCGATCATGATGGCGCCTACCGTACTACTAGGCCAGCCAAATTCAACATCTAAATCAAATAAAGAGTCTTTTCTCAATTCATTTACTAATTAAAGAAAACCACAAATCTTTAGTTTAAATATTTCAAAATAAACGGAAACAAGTACGCAAAACATCAAACATTGGCCGATCCTGGTGTCACCAGTCATGAGCCACTATAATACAAGCTGATACTGTCTAATCAATACAAAATGAGTCTGATAAATAAAAACACTAAAGTATAGGAAGGAGAAAGGCAGGGCTGCGGACGCCATGCAACTACCTCGCAATCTCCGAAATGCTCTGAAGGCAAGAGACAGCTCTCACTAGGATGCTCTGGCACCTGGATCTGCACACAAGGTGCAGGGAGTAAGGTGAGTACGCCAACTCAATAAGTAACAATTATAAATAAAGGCTAAGTGCAGTGACGAGCATTTAAAAACATAAGTATATTATAACATAAAAATCTCAGAGAAGATAGTCAGATCAAATCAGTAGATAAATTCTGAACAACCAGTTAAAACTCCAGTCCAATGAAAAGTTATTAAAACATTTATTCAACATTTTCAATAGAGGCTCAGTATAAGGAAGAGTGAAAACCAGTATTTTCATAACACAAGCCCCACAGGCGAAGTATCACTCATATATATATAGCCCCTCGGGAAAGCCTCTCAGTCACTCGAACTCAACTTCCACACTCAGCACTCACGCTCAATAGGTATCTCATAACAACCGCTGTGGCGTGCAGCCCGATCCATAAATATATAGTTGACTGCGCTCACAAGGGGTGTGCAGACTCCGGAGGGGCTCCTACAGCCCAAGCGCTATATCGCTGCGGCGCCCAGCCCGATCCAATATGCAGCCCGATCCATAACTATCCCCACAATCCGGCCCTCGGCCGCACTCACTCATCCGCCTCACAAGCCACTCGGGCATCTCAGAGCAAACTCAGGGAACTCAGCCCAAAACACTTTCATAAATAAACCATTACTGAGGATAATGCTATAAAAAATAATGTGAAAATAACAGTAAAGTGCCCCTGATGGTCCAACAGTACGGCACAAGGCCCCAAACATGGCATTCGGCCCAAGTTAACAGAATCATTTCTAAAACACATAGATATCATATAGAGTTTATCAAAACATGCAACTCTACAGTTGCCACGGGACGGACCAAGTCACAATCCCTACGGCTGCACGCCTACACGCCCGTCACCTAGCATGTGCGTCACCTTATTTATCAAAATAGTACGAAATTCCGGGATTTCATACCCTCAGGTCTAGATTTACAAAAGTTACTTACCTCGAACCGGACAAAAATCTACTCCGCAATGCCCTTGCCTCTCGACTCGGCCTCAAATCGCCCCGAACCTATCCAAAATCAGGATTATAACATCAATATATGCCAAAGGAACAAAGCCCACACGAAAATTATCAAATTAGATCAAAATTCTCGAAATTGGCCAAACCCGACCCCCGGGCCCACGTCTCGAAATCCGATAAAAATCACATCACTAGAATACTTATCCTCCCACAAGTCTACCTATATCAAGTTCACCAAAATCCACGTCAAATGGCTGTCCAAATCCCAAAAATCCACTCTCCAAATTTTCTTCCATTTTCCCCAATTTTCACCCCAAATTCCCAATTTAAATGATAAGAATCAAGACATAATCATGGAATTTAACCAAAAACAAGTGAAGAACACTTACCCCAATCACTCCTCTGAAAATCCCCTCTAAATTCGCCTTCTCCCGAGCTCTCTAATGAGTTCTGAAAATATGGACTAAAACCCTCGTTTTTGAACTTAAACATTCTGCCCAGATGCGTCCTTCATCGCGAATGCGACGCCCTCTTCGCGTTCGCGTAGAACAAAACTCCATTGCTCACTCTTTCCTCTTTTGCGAACGCGAGCTCCTTCCCACGAACGCGAAGCTTCAGCTGCCAGAGCCTTCGCGAACGCGACCCTTCCTACGCGAACGCGATGAACAAACTCCTGGGGTCCCAACTGCTCCAACTTCCCTACGCGAATGCGACGGCACTCACGCGTCCGCGATTCACTGGAGACCAAACCTATGCAAACACGTCCCCTGACTCGCAAACGCGAA